CAGGTCTGGATCCGAGGGCAATGAGACGGCGAACTGGCATGAAACCATGAGATGGTCCGAGGAGCCAAGAGCGCAAGCTGTGTGAACGTCCGTCGCCAGCAGGGGTTGGTTCGTGAAGACAAGGTCTAGACATGACTGTGTTCCGGAAGATGTTGTGTGCGTTGGACTCTGCACCAGCTGATCCAAACCGAAGCAGGTAAGGGTGCGAAAAAGTGCCGCCCCAGCAGGACACGTTAAATCCGATGGGCACCACCGTTTGTGCTTACTGTTGAAGTCCCCAGCCATTATGACATGGTACGATGACATGGGAACGGTTACCAAAGCACTAGCTAGCATATCACAGAAGTGGTCTATTTCCGTGGTTTTGACTGAGGGCGGACGGTAGGTACAGCAGACGAGGATGGGTGTCGGGGAGCCTAAGATTGGGTGAAGCTCAACCCATACGGATTCACAGGTCGGACGAGCAAGGTCGTCGCGAACTTGGACTCTTCCGAAGCGATTTTGCCGGACAAGAATCGCAACTCCACCATATCCTCTGGTTGCCGTACCGGATTTGTTATCATGAGGTGGTCGGTCGCGACGAAATGTGGTATAACCGGAGATGGTGAGCGCTATGCTTGGATTTAGCCATGTTTCATTTAGACAGATGACATCAGGTTTGTTGAAATCAGCAATGACAGACAGTTCGGCAGATTTGTTAACGATTGAGCGGCAATTTACGGAAAGCAAGGTCAGTTTACCCTGGCAAGGGGGGAAGTAGGGCCGAGCCAGTGGATTCAGCTGTGGTCGCGCCATCATGCTGAGCCTGAGGAGAGGACGTTGTTTGCCTGGTTGGCATTGCTGGTGTCAAAACTGTCCGCGGCAAAACGCCAGGGCCTAACCGTGTGCGAAAGAGCATCCGGCCAGAACCCTTTGTCACCGACTGTGTTCTCATCAGCTGCCTCGACGGTCACCCGTGCGTAGGCAGTTCTGAAGTGCTTGGATGCAAATATGACACCTTCCTGAATCTGCACTCCTCGGGCAGAGCACCATTCAGCAATTGATGATGCGGAGCAGTGTGGCTGCACGTTGCCAACGTAAAACACTTTGCGTTTGGCCCGGGGTGATGCCGTGAGGTCTACTGCCGGCTCGCTATCACGAGCCGGCTTGGTGTAGCGGGATGTTTCCACCCGCCTTGTTATGCTTTGAGCTAGCTGGGACTGACTACTAGTATCTGCCGCGTGCCTTTGTCTCTGGGCGGCTCGAGTGCGTCTGCCCTGGTGTTCCTGCCATTCATGTACTTGTTGTTCAGTATCGGTGGACCTACGGGATGCATCCAGGCCTGCTGCGGGGCTGGAGCTACGACTTGTAGTAGTGCTGGACCTACGGGATGCATGCACGCCTGCTGCGGGGCTGGAACTACGACTTGTAGTAGTGTTGGGTTGTGGCACACGCGTTTCTCCTGGCAGGCTGCCACTGCCGGCGTGTGTACCGTACGTTTGTACAGACCTGCCCGTTGTGGTGCTGAGCCTCGCACGTGCACTTGCAGTTTGTGTGGCGGTTCCTAGTACTACGTCGCTGTACTGGTGTGGCATGGCGTGCTGTGTGTGTACGCTAGTATCTCGCAGGTCAGCCATTTCCCGCCTCAGCTGTTGAATTTCAAGCTTCAAGGAAGCAATTTCATCATCTCTTCCCACCCTAATTGCCACTATTTCTTTATTCAGGTCCATTATTGTCGAGGACAATGCGGCCAAAGCAGTCGTGACATGTCCTATACCGGTCATACCTTCCAGGATGGGGTGGGACCCAATCCCCTCCTTCCGGAGCGCTCCCACCAGGTCGGGCCGTGAGAAGGAGTCCGCTTTCGGGATGCCAGTCCGGGTGGCCAGGTTTTGTAGACAGTCGAACGTCAGAAGGGCCAGGTCGACATGCTCATTGGTGGCCATAGTCCGCAGTACAAGTCACAGCTCCTGTAGGTTACAGTTACAGACTCGGAAAGGCTGATAGGAGCGGAGCTCCTAAAACTGCATCCGCACTCGAAAATTCAAATCTTTTGCTTTCACATCTGTTATCATGGTTATAGAGTGGCTTCACATCTGTTGTCATGGTTATAGAGTGGCTTCACATCTGTTATGGTTATAGAGTGGCTTCACATCTGTTGTCATGTGACTGCATTTGTGTAGAAAGTGTACACCGTGTCAGGTGGACGGTGAATCCAATATGGCCACCGACGTCACGTGACCTATTGATGCAGGGGTTGACTGGAGTTGAAACCAGCCTGGGTGAATCTGTCCACTGTGGTCATGTGCTAGATATTATATGCAGCAGCTTTTCACAGCAGCATCTGCAGCGGCGGAATGTGACGATCTATGCCTCTATCTATGCCCGCATCGGTGGGTCACGTGACGCCGGTGGCCATGTTGGTTCCACTGTCCAATCAACCATCTATGGCACATGACGCCGGTGGCCATACTGGTTCCAACTCCACTCAAGCCCCTGCATCTGTGGGTCACATGACGTC